ATATATATATATATATATATATATATATATATATATATATATATATATATATATATATATATATATAATTTTTCTTTGAAGTTCTGAACTTATACATTGCTACTTGTTGGGTATCTAAAAAATAGTAATGCCAAACCTCACTGCCCTCTCTCCTTGCAGCTTTCAAAATATCCATATTCCAATCAGTTATCAAATGGTAATGTTTATTTAGCATTTAATCAGTGATACAGCACTTTGAAATTTCAGGTGCGAACTGATGCAAGATTACTTTGTGCTACCAGCTCAGGCGATGGTGTCGGTGAAATGCTCATCATATCACATTGGCTCTCAATGCATGCTAATGGGAGATGCTGCACACGCTGTTGTACCCTTTTATGGCCAAGGCATGAATGCTGTAAGTCAAAGAATCCTTGCAACTGAAATTTTTGTTGTTTTTCTTTCTCAATAAAGAGTGCTTCTTTGCGGCTATCAACTTCCGCCCTATGCAGCAGTTTCAGATAATTGCAGAAGTGTCCTCATTGCTGATATGAAGGAGTGGAGGAGCTAGCCAATTTAAAAAAAAAAGTGGTACCCTATTTCCTCTGCATTTGCTCACAGAACAAGAAAAAAGGGGTGAGAGTAAGAGGAAAGCTGCCAAGCAATAGGGCAAAGGGATCATGAAGTGTCAGGTTTTTCTTAGGGTAGGAGAGACTTGGAGCAGGAATGCAGAGAATGTAAACATGCCACATCTATTAACAAGTGAGCATGAGAAAAGGAAGGCAAAATCTTCATTATAAAGAGGGAAATGTGGGAAAAGAACACAGTGTATTTGGAGTAGGAGGGACTATAAGTTCTGTATCAGCCTCCAGATGCTCAGTGACTGTCTGCTGTTTATAGTCACTATTGTTCCTGAATCATCAGAAGGATTCAATTCCTAGTTGTGTTGTTTAATCTACTTTAGACCTATCTTGGGGAATTTGAACCAAGGTATCATGGGACTTTGGCTTAGAAAATCAAGAGTTACTGCATACACTGGAGATGATTGTATATTACTCCTAGCATGGGAAGAGCGAAGAAGAAGGAGCGACCAAAAAGTAATGAAAGATAGAACTAGAGTAGTGATATAGCAGGAAGTTCAGGATGTGAGTGTAGAATATTGGTATAGCTTTTGCTGCCAAGACTCCAGGTTTTTCCCTTTCTGGACTGGCTAGTTTGAGATGCTGATGCAAAACCTAGACCTCAAGGGAAGATTACAAGTATGAAGCAAAAAAGAAACAGAGGAAGAATGATATAATTACTAGTTCCAGAGAAAGGAGAAACGCAGAGACTTAAAGTAGTATGTTTTATACAAGATACCAAGTAGAGTCTGTTTTTAGATCCAAATTTAAATTAAATAAAAATACCTGAAGTATTTATTTAACAAGCAGAGATAACAATCATAGGGAAACTGATCAGAAGCTTAATACTTATTAGGAGGGCATAAAACTACAACTATATTTAGGAATTGTAGTAATAATAGTTTCCTAGAAATTTTTCTACCTTGCTTGACTGTAGTTCCCACACTGAGAAATACAGAGGACATAGTTCACATTTATCTTCAGAACCAGTAGCAAGGAAACTAGCTGTCAAAACCACACCAGATATAGAACAAGATTTTAAACTTGTTTTATCATAGCAGAAAATAAGTTCAAAGTCTGGTTTGATGCAGCAAATGGGTCTTTCTAGGTAAATGAAGCAGGAAGATGATTCAAGTAAAAATTCTAGTGTTCTGCCAAGTTGTGGAGATAGTTATCACAGTAGAAAGGAGTCAGGGTTAGAGAGGTATCATAAACATGATTCTGGGAATTAATCTTGTGGTAATCCTGGTGAAAAACAACTAGGTCTTGGAGTAAGAAAGCTAGCAAGCCTGGAAGACAAAGAGCAATCATAGAGGTGGGTGGGACAAAAGATTACAAAGAATTAAATAGATATGAGCTGTGCCTAGATTAGAATGATTAAGAACAATAAAACAGTAAATTCATTAAAAACAGTAAAAACAAGATTTAGAGATGTTCTTATTTATTTATCTGTTTTTAAATCAATCTAACAATAGAGAAACTTCTTGAGATATCATTGTGAACAATAGTGATACTTAACAGGCCAAACTTCCTGCCCCCTGGCCCCTCTGAGATCTGGGAGTAGCCTTTGAGCCCTTTCCTCAAATGCCTTCCACTTCTGATTTATTAAAGTTGAGGTAATCACTTCTGCTTTCTTAATTCTGAGTTAAATATTTGTAATTGAACATTTAATTGTTCCAACTGGCTAGAAAGAACAAAGCATCAAGGTTTGAGGAGGTGTTACCTGGCCTGTGTGACGACCTTATCATTTGAAAACTGTAAAAATAATTTGGCACTTTCTATGTTTTGCCCAACACAATAATCATGGAATTAGAATTTACTACTTAAAATTAGATTCTTACTTTCCTTGCATTTCCCCCCCCCCCAGGGATTTGAAGACTGTCTAGTCTTTGATGAGCTGATGGACCAGTTTCACAATGACCTCTGTAAGTGGCTATCAGATAGAAAAAGCAATATTCTACCAAATGCAAATTAAAAATGGCTTGATGTGAAATGAGTTCAGTATCTCTATCATCTACTCCATCCACATATTTAGGGTGTGTCTTCTCCTTCTGCAAAACTGCATAAGAACCAACTCCCCCAACCTCTGTGGGCTGGGCAGATTGTAAAGTCTGATAGATCCTGCATGTATGTGTGTAGCAGAATAGGAGATAAGGACTGTGATTGCTCCTGAAATGGAAAGAATCTTTATGAGAAAACTTAACTGATATGGCCCAGGTATCACAGTCTACAGGTTTGAATGATTATTCTGTGGGGAAAACAACATTTGTTTCCCCCATCAGCAACGATAAGAAGGAATTGTAACATGAAGCACATCATAAAATGACTACTTATCATGAGAATTTTTAAAAGATATCCAAGGTCTCCTCAGTTTTGGACCTCAAAGTCCCCCTCCTGATGTACTTTTTAAAGACAATGACAAATATGTTCTCTCTGCCTGCAGAAATTCCTGTTTTAGCAAACTATTTTTAAACTAGACCAAACCGTTTTTCATTAATCTTGTGAGTGTGTTCTGATAATTTGATATATTGCATTTCATTTTATCTCATTATTTTGTTTGTATTTATAATCTGGAACCTCTTCAAGACTGTTTTACAGACAAAATCAAACATTAGATATTTGCATTTTGCTTTGTTTTGTAGTTAGTTCAAATAAATTAATGATCCTATCCTACCCTAGTGTTACTGTTTTCTATAAAAGGAAATGCTGAATAAGTTCTTCTTCAAGCTGCATTAACTTATGAGTTCTTCTTCAAGCTGCATTAACTTATTATCCTCTAGTTTTTCAGTCAGCAGAAATGGAGGCCAGCATCAATTGCACTGCTCTAGTAGCTGAGACTTAGAACATAGAATAATAGGGTTGGAAAGGGACCTTCGAGGTCTTCTAGTCCAACCCCTTGCTTCTTCTTAGTTCAGCCCCCTTCTTCTGCTTTAGTACAGTAATAGAGACCAGCTCATGTGAGTGAGTGAGTGTAATGTAGTCAAATTAAGAAAGCCTTTGGTGGATTTCCTTGCCTTTATTTTTCTTTCACTGAGTGACACCTGTTGGTGGAAAATATAATTGCACTGCTTGGTGGAGTTTGAAAGAGTGGGAAGCCCTTACTCAAATATTCTCTGGCTGGCAAATTGCAGGCATAGAGGAAAAAACGAAAAGGAGCAATTCTGACCAACTCCTGTTTCAGCCTGTGCCCTTCCTCCATGCCTAGGCTGTGTCAGTTGGAAAAGCTGTAAAAGCCGGGTACAGGGTGAATTGGGAGGAAGCTGCACCTGATAAACACTGCAAAGAAATGGCAGTGCTGTAGCTTCAGATGGCAGAAAATGGAACAGCCAGGGGGACATACAGTAGGGTAAGAATAGGCTGAATAGCACCGACATCCCCAGAATAACTGAAACAGAGAAAATACGGTCAGGCAAAACCCCTTGTCGGCAGAAGCAGTAGTAGTTTGGAATTTAGCAATCCAAGCTGGCAGCTCTTTTCCCATTTAAGTCAACCTTATGTTCAGCACAAGGACACAATTAGTTTAGTTGTCTAAGTGCCGGTTTAGCTTTTTAGAAAGTGACCTTGTATACAACAAGCCTGAGAAATTTATTTGGTTGATTTATATATTGCCTTTATTTTGTACAGGCTCACATAATGCTCCTGCCTTCAATTTTCTCCACAACAACAATGTGTGTGTGTGTGTGTGTGTGTGTGTGTGTGTATGGAGCTGAAAGAGTATGACTGAGAGGCCATTATCAACCTTGTTTATCCTAGAGAAGTCCTTAAAAAACATTAAGGTCTTAGGAAACACCTGCATAAAAATATTTTTTCTACAGATCATGGTACATTAGTATGGGTCAGTAAGTTGTAGATATAATAGTCTAATATAGTAATAATTGTTGGTGGCCTTTGGAATAGAGAATGATATTTTTCTGTGGCTCTGGGTTTTTGTTTGATTTCTCTTCTGCCACAAAGGATGTCAAGTCTAATATAAGTCAGTAATATAAATAGATGAAACTTCATTTTTTCCTTTCTTTAAAACTGATTTTTTAAACATGTACAAGTAAACCTAAAAGTCTTATCACAAATTTATTCTGTATAAGATGCTAATGAGCAATGATTTAGCCCCTCCCCTACCTTTCCTGAAAAAACAAAAAGCAGTTTTGCAAAGTTATCATTCTTAAAATCTTTCCTTTCATAAATTTTAAAAACTTACAAGGCAGACATACTAAACTTTTAAGCTAAAATGGGGGTTTAATTTTTTTAAAGGTAATTTCATTCCATTTTTTAAAAGAAAAGGCTGACTATGAAAAAATACGGACAATATTGAATAGTGAAGCTATTAAAAGTCTTAACCCTAAGAAATATGTATAAAAATATAGACAACTTTATACATGACTTTAGAAAAATGTCCCTTAGTGAGTAACATGATAAGGCTCAAATATAAAGTAACAGTTACAAAATTATATAGTAGATATTATTAATCAGCAATAGGAAAGTGGCAGGCCAGCAGCTGAGTCATGGTCTATAAAAGTTCTCAACACTGTAAGAACTGGTATTATGTGACATGCGAAGTTTTTTTTAAAAAAAATGTTAATTTTTTTGGTTGCAATCTCTTGCAGAACTTGAGTTGACAAGGACTGAAATAGAATATTACTATAAACACTTCACAGACTGTATCTTTAGGCATTGTATGCTCATAAAGCTGTAAATTACAACAAATGCTTATCATGGAATGGCAACTAGTTGCAACTTCTATTTGCATCTTCTATGGCATATCAAAGTTTCTCTCTGCAGAAAGCCTGTGTTGTCCCTGCTTTTTCCTTAGGTGTTTGCCTTCCAATGTTCTCAAAGCTAAGGGTACCTGACGATCATGCAATTTCAGATTTAGCCATGTATAATTATATAGAGGTAAGTTAAACAATATTTGATTGGCCATTGAATTATGGGCAATGCCACCAAATGCAAATCTATCTCTTTCTAATTTCAGATGCGGGAACGTGTGAATTCAAGGTGGTTCATTTTCCGAAAGCATATAGACAATTGGCTTCATGTACTCCTGCCTTCTATCATCATTCCTCTGTATACTATGGTGAGACTCTAACACTTAATTCTGCAGGAGTTTTCTTGTATTTTTTCTCCCAGTTGTCCACTTTTTCCTTCTGGGATACGCCCAGGTTCCTGTATTGATTTTGTAACCTCCTTCAGGTGACATTCTCCAGAATCCGATACCATGAAGCTGTGCAAAGATGGAAATGGCAGAATAAGGTAAACTACATTCAGATGCATTTGCCTAAAGTAGCTACACCAAGCATTTATTGTTGTGGCAAATGCACAGGAGGAAGTTGAGAAGCATAGCTATCTTCACTTTAGATTCAATAAAGATGAAAATTTAGAATGTCTAGTACCATCAAATTATACATACTGTAAGGGTGCAAATAGTTTTCCAGTAGACCTGAAGGCCCTACCTGACTCATCCCCTCTTTGCTCGTCAGGGCTTGGGGTTGATAGAGAGCATGACCAGAGACACTCCAGGACAACCACTACTTATAATCCCCTAGTCAGAATTTATGAGTCCTGAGGCTGTTCAGGATCAGCAGAGTATTACTGGGGCTGCCCTGAAATCTCTTCCTTCCAGGACCCTCTTCCTTCCCGGAATGTGAGCCCAATTTCACCAAACAGTTCTGGGAGGATTAATGAACTAGGATGGTTATATGCTCATCATCAGCAGATTCCCTTGTGCCATATCTTGCCCAGCTTGATAGTAAAATAAAGAGACAGATGAAAATATGGAGTGATATAACAGAGAAATAAAAATGGTAATTAAGGATGCAAGAAATGCTTGTTGAACTCAAACCTAAATTTCTTTGCGACTGACATTGATGTGTGTTCAGACCAACAGCCTTAAACAGCCAGATTTAAGTCTTCCTAAAAATGTTGGCAAAATAATTGCAATTGTTTCCCCCTAGAATATTTTTCAGATATTTTACTAAAATGCAGATTTTTCATTGTTGTTAAAGGTGATCAATAGAGGCCTCTTCCTCACCATGGTAGCAGCAGCAGTGAGTGGCATCTATCTGTTCAGAAATGGAAAGTTACCCAAAATTGACTTTCATATAGAGGATTTGTGGAGACATACTTAAAAATGGTGGAAAATTTTCAGAAATCATTTGAGATAGAAATGAATGCTTTCTGAATAATTAATCTCTGTTTTAGAAATGGGTCCTCCAATTTATATTTGATGTATATTTGATATGATGTAATGAATGCTGGATTCAAGACCTAAAATCCTGTTCATATTGAGAAATTCACTGCTATTTTGTTATCAGTGAACATGTCATAAGCCACTTCTAGATATGGATATGCCTTGTATTTTATCATTGCTTTTCTGTTTGTGTTGCAACTGCAGTGTACAGCCCACATAACTCATTGCTGTCCTGTGTTTCATTTGCAAAAAATCTGCACTATCCCAGCTACATCAACAACACATTTTGACAGAAGATGCTGGGGCTTTTCTAAGATTGTTCCACCACCTCATCTTCGGTTCCCTCCCATAAGATAATCATTATGGCAATGCTTGGAGTTATCTAATTCAATTGTTTCTGCATTTTTTTTTTAAAAAAAATCATATAATGCCAGTATTCCATTCTTCTCAAGTTCTAGTATGGTGAAAAAAATAAAGTTGTTGGTTGGAATCCAGTTGTCCATTTCTGCTAGAATATTGCAATAGGAAGGCAATGATTCTCTCCTCTGTAATTACAGGTAAAACTCAAAAAATTAGAATATCGTGCAAAAGTTCATTTATTTCAGTAATGCAACTTAAAAGGTGAACCTAATATATGAGATAGACTCATTACATGCAAAGCAAGATAGTTCAAGCCGTGATGTGTCATAAGTGAGATGATTATGGCTTACAGCTCATGAAAACCCCAAATCCACAATCTCAGAAAATTAGAATATTGTGNGGGAAAGCCTCAAAAGGTAATTGCAAAAGAAGTTGGATGTTCCCAAAGTGCTGTATCAAAGCACATTAATAGAAAGTTATGTGAAAGGGAAAAGTGTGGAAGAAAAAGGTGCACAAGCAGCAGGGATGACCGCAGCCTGGAGAGGATTGTCAGGAAAAGGCTATTCAAAAGTGTTGGGGACTTTCACAAGGAGTGGACTGAGGCTGGAGTCAGTGCATCAAGAGCCACCACACACAGACGGATCCTGGACATGGGCTTCAAATGTCGTATTCCTCTTGTCAAGTCGCTCCTGAACAACAAACAACGTCAGAAGCGTCTTACCTGGGCTAAAGAAAAACAGAACTGGTCTGTTGCTCAGTGGTCCAAAGTCCTCTTTTCTGATGAGAGCAACTTTTGCATCTCATTTGGGAACCAAGGACCCAGAGTCTGGAGGAAGAATGAAGAGGCACACACTGCCAAAAGCACCAAAACCTGGTTCAATGACCGTGGGATTACTGTGCTTGATTGGCCAGCAAACTCGCCTGACCTGAACCCCATAGAGAATCTATGGGGCATTGCCAAGAGAAAGATGAGAGACATGAGACTGAACAATGCAGAAGAGCTGAAGGCCGCTATTGAAGCATCCTGGTCTTCCATAACACCTCAACAGTGCCACAGGCTGATAGCTTCCATGCCACGCCGCATTGAGGCAGTAATTGCTGCAAAAGGGGCCCAAACCAAGTACTGAGTACATATGCATGCTTATACTTTTCAGATGTCCGATATTGTTCTATGTACAATCCTTGTTTTATTGATTGCATGTAATATTCTAATTTTCTGAGATTGTGGATTTGGAGTTTTCATGAGCTGTAAGCCATAATCATCTCACTTATGACACATAACGGCTTGAACTATCTTGCTTTGCATGTAATGAGTCTATCTCATATATTAGGCTCACCTTTTAAGTTGCATTACTGAAATAAATGAACTTTTGCACGATATTCTAATTTTTCGAGTTTCACCTGTATCTCCCTGTGCATCCTCAAAATATGATCTGTAATTATCTCCCTGTGCATCCTCAAAATATGATTTGGAGGCTCTTTCAGATTTTGTGGCAACAGTGAAATTCAGTTTGCATGATATTAGTTCCATTCAACGTTCTAAATCTCAATGTCATGCTCAATGGATTTTAAGGTAGATAGTTCTGGGAGGATGGTAAAGTGATCAGGTTAGCAGGCAAATGCCTGGAAAATATGGTGGAAAAACATCAAGATCAGGAGAGTTTTCAAGTTCATAGAAGTACTCCAAGAAGATTAAAGGATGGGCAGGCAAATTCTGAGAAGATCAGAAGGCAGTGGGCCAGTGGGAAGGCACTGGGAAGATTAGGAAGTGAGCAGGTCAGTGAGACAATCCTAGAAAGATGGGAGGCAGCCAAACTGGTGCGAAGATACTATGACGATTGGTAGGTGAAAGGGCCAGCAGAAAGAGGCTGAGAAGATAGCAAAAGCAATAGCATTTAGACTTATATACCGCTTCACAGTGCTTTATAGCCTTCTCTAAGTGGTTTACAGAGCCAGCATATTGCCCCTAACAATCTGGTTCCTCATTTTACCCACCTCAGAAGGATGGAAGTTTGAGTCAACTTTCAGCCAGTGAGACTTGAACTCTCAAACTGCTGGCAGTCAGGAGTCAGCATAAGGAGCCTGCAGTACTGCATTCTAACCACTGCACCACCAGATGAGGAGAGGGCCAAAGGTGTAAAGAATAGTGGAGCAGAGAGCATGTACTAGGGAAATTGGAAGTACATTTGAATCTGTTGTAATTCTGATTACATACCTGAATCTCATATACTATATAATTCCAGTTCTCTTGCTTGTCTTTAAATTTATGAAGATTCTATCTATTCATATTTAAGGGGAAATAAAATTGATACCAAATAACCCCTTTCACATCTCAAACTACTTCAACAGATAAGGCATGCTTGAGCACAAATTGAAATGTACATGAGCTTTATTGGTATCAGTGTATAGCTGAGAATTGCAAGCATGGCTACATAGTTGCAAATTGAAATGGCTTTAAATCAGTAAAAGTTTTATTGATTTCAATGATGCAATAACAACATTTATCAAGTATCTTATTAAGTACCTGGAATCCGCACTGAGCCAAACTTTTGTGAAAACAATGCTATGCACATTGTGACATCACAATACAAGTTCTGCTCCTTACATACATATACATATGATACGTTGCAGTGCTAATACAAAAGGGGAGAGTTTAGATTGCAATTGTTGTTTTGCCATTTTTCCTCCCTGTGGATGGTCACGCCTAGCATCTTCAGAACTGACAAACTTTAATATACAATGTTAAAGTGACTGCAATTACCATGTTTTCCCGAAAATAAGACCTACCCTGAAAATAAGCCCTAGCTTGATTTTGGGGAGTGGGCCTAATATAAGCCCTACTCCAAAAATAAGCCCTAGTTTTGGGGTGAGGCGCACATCTAAAAATCAAGCCTGGGTGGAGGTGGGGGGGTGGAGCTACCCCACATGCCCCACACTCACCGTTGCAACCAAGCCTCCCATGCCCCGACACCTGCCTTGCCGGCCCACTTCTTCTGCAGCTACTTGCCACTGCTCACACACGTGCGTCACCCCCAACCTCTATTTTGCCATCAGAGGTCTTCAGGAAATGCTTCTGCAGCTAAGAATGGAGCACCGGATTGACACACATGGCACCCCCCCAGCCTCCATTTTGCCTTCAGAAGACTTCAGGAAAGGCCTCTGCAGCCGAGAACTGGGCTCCGGATTGATGCATGCAGCACCCCCTGGAGGCATTTCCTGAAGGCCCCTGACAGCGAAATGGAAGCCAGGAGCAACGTACATGAGCGGCAGCGAGCGGCCGCAGATGTGGGCCAGCTGGGCGGGGCTGTTGGTGCCACCGCCACGAGGTGAGACCGTGGAAAAGACATCCCCTGAAAATAAGACCTGGTGCCTCTTTTGGAGGAAAAAAAATAAAAATAAGACTGGGTCCTATTTGGGGGAAAACACAGTACCTTGTTTCCTCTTGGTTGCATACAGCTTGCCTGATTCTTTGCATTGACTTGTTCTTCATTGTAGAGAAGGCCTTAGGCATGATTTCAAACCAATCTTTTCCTGTAGAACTACAGAGATTTTTTTACCTACCAATTTTACCTACGAATTAGTTTAATTGACATACCATTCTATTAATTAAAATTTGTTAAAATCAGTTGTGACAATACTATATTCCTCATGTGATGTCCTATCATGCCTATCATGTACTATCATGCCAGCAATTGATGTCTACAGTGCCAAAAAAATTGTGATTTACATATATCAATAGAACAAAAATGAAATACACAGCTTTCAAATATCTCATCTGCTTCCATGTCACATATAATTCTTGGCTTTGCATTTGCTTATATCCTGTGGACTTAACCAATTCAACCAAACTAATAAAAATGATTTAATGCAATAGGTAAACCAGGAACAGAACTCTGTTCATGCATCTCATCAGTCGTAATATGGTTTGCCTGATTTATCATAAGTCATAAATGTTCTTTGAATATAGAGCTGATCAACAGTCCAAAGAAAAGCTATCTGATTATAATTTGTGGACCTGTCAGTATTTTTTCAGTAAAAGGATTTCCTATATTCAGCAGCTGATATAGTTGTTAAATTTAAATCGGAAAATGGAAGTTACCATTTAGCCTTATCACTCACTGGGTAATACTTTTGGAAAAGCTCATTTTTTCTGAACTAACTAGGCCTTCTGAACAGTAGAAGAGAAATGCAAGTACATTTTTACTAACACGTTATTGTTTAAAACAATCCTATTACTGGGGATTGAATGTCGATTGATATCCAGACAGGACATCTGGCACAAAGAAGCTCATCCTCAGCTCAAAATCTGCTCCTCAAAGTTATCAGATCATCAGATCCCTGATACAGCACCAGGTGAATAAAAGTTTTTATAGATTTTTCGATTCATTTGGTAATAGCTTCAGAACTGTCTCTTGCAAGCAGAAACAAAATTTTGTGTTTACTGGACAAGACCTCATAAAGCTTGCTGACCCACAATCATGATGAGCCAAAGCCATTTGAGTCTATTCCATAATAGTCAAATATCCCCCCCCCCCAGGTTCTCTGACTACTCACCTGGTTTTGTAAACTACAAGACCAATATACACATAGGTACATATAGGTGATATGTATGGAAAGAGCAATGCTGGAAATGTGTTAAGTGCTGGAAGTTCTCTGAGGTAGTAAACTCAGCTATTTAAAGCAAAGGGACTGGATGCTGATTGGCTGCTCTGTTCTGATACACTCTTTTGGAGTCCCAGAAAAAAAAGGTTCACAGTGCAAAACATTGACGCTTTTTGAGAGATGGGTGGAATTGCAATTGCTCATGAGATGAACAAATCAGCAACACACATTGTTTTGAATGCAACATAGTACCTTCTTGGGAAAATTACCAGTTTGTGGTAATAGCTCATCACCTTCTCACTCACCTTAAAATAGGCCTTGTAAACACCTCACCTCACCTCACCTTAAAATAGGCCTTATAAACAGCAAAATAGTTAATTAAAAGAACTCCCTGAGTAGCAGTTGGCAATTTTATTTACATACTGTATATAGTAGAGGTTTAGGTAATTTTATAAATCAAAACCCCAATTCCCTATAGTTTGTATGGGTGATGAATGGAAGAGGCCTAGCTGCTCTGAGTGCTTCATCTGAGATATGCAGTAAAGTTCTCTAATGCTTACGTATTTTTTAAAAAATGTTGGAATAGAAGCATGTTGCATGTAACAACAGTGGCAAGAATTATATTTGCGCAGTATTGGAAAAAGGAAGAAATACCATCAGATGAAGAAATAATTTAAAAAATACTAGAATGTGCGGAGATGGATAGACTGACTTTGAGGTTGAAAGAAAAAGAAGAAACGGAATATTATCAAACTTGGGACTTATTTTATCAAGGGCTAGAGGAAAGAATAAAGGATTAGGAATTAAATTTGTATTAGTGAATGTAAACTCAGCCAGAACGTTTGTTGAACAAGTACTATTGAATGTATGAAAAAATCAATAAAAATCTAATATATATATATATATATAAAGAAGCATGTTGCAAAATCCGCAGAATGGTTTTCTCAAAAATAACTGATATTATACGGCAATAACGGTTGATTTAAGAAAAGCAAATGGATTCATCTTCTGTTTTTCTGCTGAAGAGTTTCTTTGTGCTTTGCACTGTTGCTGAAGTTTCATTTCATTGGCCATTAAATCTGGGGTTCACAACAGTGGTAGTAGCACTCTTGAAAAGAGGATTGTCAGCCTGTCAATAAAACATCAGAAACTTTTAGCTGCTAATAAAACCTAACATTTCAAGATCAGATCTGGATTCAGATGGGTAATCATACATTCATTTAATAGCTTGATAAAACCCAAACTAAACAGCAGGAAGATGATAGAATCTACACCGGGGTAGTCAACCTTGGCTCTTTTATGACGAGCCAAGGTTGACTACTCCTGATCTATACCAAAGGCGTGCCCAAGTACACCAAGCTGAATCAATTACTTTGATTAATAACTCAAACACAGGAAGAAAGAGACACAAGTAGGTCTTCTCCTTTCTTTATATCTCTCCACCAGAGTTAAACATCTTACCTCATTCCATTTGGCCTTGGATTTCTCCTTCTCAAATCTGTGATATTCTCTGCGATCAATCAACTCTGCCACTAGCCGCCAAGCCAGGAGGAGAAGGAGCCCAATAAGAGCCACTCCAGCTATAGTGCCCCCCACTATGGCTGCAATGTTAGGGGGTTGGGGGCATTCTAAGAAAAGAAAGAAAAATGATTAAAAATGTGTGCTTGACTGAGCAACAGAAATACAGCTATGATGTATTTATAAGACTATATCCGTTTGCATATATTACATGCTAGTGGTAAATGTTTCTTAAATTATTATTATTATTATTATTATTATTTATTGTATTTTTACCCCGCCCTTCTCCTTGCGGACTCAGGGCGGCTAACAGCCTAATAAAAACAGATACAAAAATACAAAAAATACCATCATTAAAAACATAATTAAAAGGAAATATTAATTTGGCCTTTGTTATTTTAAAAATTATTTTAAAACCCAGCTAAAAATTACCCCTTAG